CGTGTCCCTGGGTCCCGAGCGGGACCGAAGGCCGTGGGGAGGGACTAGGCAGGGGGAACACGTCGGGCGGGGTGACCGCGTGGCCCACGTGGCGGGAGAGGACGCAGCCTTCTCGGGCCGCAGCCTGAGATTCTCCCAAACCCGTGGCCTGCAGGATCCCCTGCAGGTGTGCGCGGCGTTCTCTGCTCTTTTAGGTTTAAGGATGGATAAAGTGGTCCAGAAGAAGTAATCGGTGCTAACTTACAGCTCTTCTTCCTCTTTTGAGCGTTGCATATGCCAAAAATACAGGTTTTAGGAAATGTCAATAATAGTTACAGTTTACCTGAAAAGGGTGTTCATTATAACCAAGATGTGTGTATACATGTGTATGTGTGTAGAAAGTGCATTATCCCATTTGATGCTCCCAAAAACTCTAAGGTAGGGTTCATTATTAACTTTACATTTATAAACATAAGAAACATTCAAACCTGGAAAGAATTTACTCGAGCCCAAACTGTTGACAATTGCAGGGAAACAGAACCTCAACAGATTGAGATAATGCTATGGAAAATGGCAGTTTTGCACCTTGTTTTTATAAACTACAATCAAAAGAGACGACATAAGTGGGTTACATGAAATCCATTGGTGATAAATTAGGGAGGCAGGAGGAAGCAAAGTGTGCAGAGGATTGGATAAAAAGTTAAATGATAGACCCATACTTCTTTTACAGGTACTGAGGTGGGTGCAGTATAGTAACTATACTATAGTTAACAGTCAACAATTAACTCAGTAACAAGGAGGGGATTTGTGGTCTCCGCAGAGTGGTGCCTGTGCTTTGAGGGGTCCGGAAAAAGGGAAATTTTGACATTCCAAAGATTTATCATAGATGCAAAAAGACAATAGGCTCAGTTAAGGTAAAGATTGACCTTTGTCGGAAGATACTGGCCGAGAATATGATTACCCACCATAAACTGCTTTTTAATTTTAAGTTTTAATTTCAGCCCTAGTCAGTTTGGCCTGTGGACCAAAGGGTCCCGGGTTCAATTCCCATCAAGGATACATACCTCAGTTGCAGGCTCCTTCCCAGCCCAGACCCTGGTCAGGGCCTGTGCAGGAGGCAACCTATCAATGTATTACTCTCACATTGCTATTTCTCTCTGCCTTTCCCTCTAAAATAAAACTATCAATGGAAAAATATCCTCAGGTGAGGATAAAAAAAATGTTTTCATTTCAGACCATGCAGACCTTCCCTGAGCTAATCAGGTTAGCATGTGGCCCCTTTTCATCCACACATTTTTACAGCTAAGGAAACCTAGACTTAGCTTGCTTAGGACACTTATTACAGAAATATCCAAATTAATAATCAGTTAACTGATTCATATTATACATTAATGATTAATACAGTATGTCATACATTATACTTATTGACATTAATATTCAATAATATTGCAATGTTGCAGAATTGTTTTCATATTCAGTTGAGGGAAATGGAATGTTTTTTTGCTGCTGACGGGGAGCTGTTTACCTCCCCCAAATATGCCTCTTTGGGCTATAATTCTAGGCTGGGTCCTTTTAAGAAACAGCAGACATGGGAGAAGCTCTGAAGACCAAATAGAAGTTACTCTTTCTGAAAGGATATTTGCTTTTATAAGGGAAACCCCCATTTTTAAGCGTGTTTCCCTCACTATGCCAGGACTGTCTTCATTATCAGTAGAGAAGTCATGGATTTAATTGTATATAACAATCTTACTCGTGCTTACAGTGCGTTTACTGGTAAACTCTCATAACTGACTCTACCTCCAACATCTTTTTTTGTCTTTAGAAAAAAGTGGCATTTAAGGTGATGGCTTCTCCCATTTGGGCAAATTATGTGGTGTTCTTGGGTCCTTCCCATATATACATGAGGTACTAGGATATATGTTATCAAATTACATTTTGCTTTTCTCCTTGTCAATATAAGAAACATCTAAATCTGTAGAGAACTTTTAGGAGTTTGAGCCAAACTGATGGCAATTGCTGGGAAATAAAATCTCAATGGATTAAGACAACGAAATTACACACAAACTCCATTTCTTTAACATGACCCTTTCTTCTTCCTGTCTATCCACTTTCCTTTATCATTAAGCCCTTAGTGCCGGAAGCCGGTTCACCCTTGCTGCTTGACACAGTCGCTGCAGGGAAGAAACATCTGCACAGCTTATGTTTCAAGGGACCTGGCGTACATGGCATATGTTTGCCCCCCCCTCTTAGCACTATGGGTTTTAACCAGGACCACCTCCCCAAGAAAGGTTTTTCCCAGGTAGGGATTTTTCCCTGGAGTTAGGAATTAACAGGACTAAGGAAGGGAATGAATCAGTACGACCTCCTAGTGTTACAGGAATACCATGTACTACTTATGAAGTACTTGGACTAAGACTGTTGGGCCCACATCCCCAGGGGTCTGCCCACCAGGGAAAGCACCAAAGCCTATATCCCTGGAGACCCACCGACACAGGGCAGTCCCAGGGAAGGCAAGCAGCAAGGCTGGGAGGACATAACCTTTACTGGGTAGGATAATCTCCTTCAGTCACTTCCTTGTAGTTTATCAGAAGAGCAATAGAATAGTGACCTTGGAATAGCCCTTATAATGGAACACAGAGATTAACCTAGACAAGATTAAAATCAACAGAACTATATAGAGACAGGATTATGGAAATGAAACTGGGAACTGTAGGTTTCCCGAAACATACCATGATGTAATTATAGAGGCATGCTTATGGGATCAAATAGCATAAATATAGATGTAATAGAACAATAAAGAGAGAACCCAACCAGGCTGATCACCTAAACGCTGCCTCCGTGTCCTTCATTCTTCACTGACTCCATCCACACCTTTGGGAACCCCTGGACCTGCTGGGGCTGGCCCCCAACACATTTCCATCAACAAAACAGATGGCTGCCACATTTACTTAAGAATTCCCTGGATTGTGAGATAGACAGTGCCAAATCTTCTGAGATACATGCCCTCATTCCTTCAGAAGACGGGCACTTTAATGAGTTCCCTTGGCCATCTAGCATTCCAAGCAAAATTGTTTCCTCTAAGTATTCCCTTGATTTTGCATTCCATCCTGGCTCCGCCTGAACCTCAGATAGTAGGTTCGCCTGTACCAGCTGCTGTGGCAGTGCCTGCACTCAGGCCGATTTAAGGAGTCTTGAACCCTTTCTCTGGGATCCCCGGCCAGCACCTTCCTACAGAGATGATTTAAAAAGAAAACCACCACACCATTCTGAGATTGCATTCCTTCCTCCTTCCATGCCAGGGTCCTGTCCTCCATCTTCACTAATGCTCAACAGCTTTTGGCTTCTGTCCAGGCACCTGAACAAAGGACTAAAATCTCTACTGCAGCCTGGTTTTCAGTCTAATGTAAGGATCTTGAACAGCACTGCTAATGTAAATTTCAGTTTTTCCTTCTAGGACAAACATATCAAAATATATGCAACTTTTTTTTTGGTGAGAAGAGAGATTGTCCTATGACTTCTACCCATTTCCTGAGGCCTGTAGAAATAAACCTTTATCTACTTAAAGTTATACAAAAAATAGAATAAAAATAATACCAAACTTGGGAAAAAAAGTTTAACTTACAGTGCACACGGTGTGCTCAGGTGGGAGGAGGTGGCGGGATTTAAAAAAGTAACTCCGTGAATGTTTCCCCAAGTGGACATTTGGTATGTATTAATGCCCTGGTGTTGTTCAGGGGTTAGATCATTGGCCCTAGCACTGAAGGGTCCCGGGTTTGATTCCCAGTCAAGGGCACATGTCTGGGTTGCAGATTCAATCCCTGGCCCAATTGGAAGGCATCCAATAGATGTGTCTCACATCAATTTCTCTCTCTCCCACCTTCCCTCCTTTCCACTTAAATCCATGGGAAAAATACCTTTGGGTGAGAAGTAACAACAAAAACCCCCCACAAAAAAAACAACTATGAAATAAAGGACTAAAAGAAAACAATGTCACCCCAATAAATTTAATTTAAAAAAAGAACCAGACAGGTAAAAAACAAAACTATAATTTATAATTACATCATTCAGATTAAAAAAAATTTTTTTAATGACTATTTTTTTTTAACAAATGACTATCACTTTTTAAATTAGTTCAATACTCTTTTCTCATAATATTACTTCTGGGATGTCATTTTTCAGAATAGTTATTTTTTTCTGCATATTCTTCATTCTTGAGGTGGCTTTAAAATGCTAATTAACCCAGGAGGGCCTAGCTTGATAGTCCTTTTACACAGTTTGAAGTTGGTAAACCTTGGGACCTTTTTTCAAGAGGTAACCTTGCTCATTTAGTGATCCAATAAAATTTTCAAAATCAGCAACCTGGAAGA